TTCATGTGAATCGTCTCGTCGCGTTCTTCTTTCGTTTGCCGCGCCTCGTGCGTTTCGCTGCGCCTATTTGTTCGCGAGTTATCGGCTGGGGGCGTTGAACGCCCCCCCCCCGGCAAACGGCGGATGGGGAAATACCCCAGCAACTGCCGGGTTAATCTGACGCATGTTTTGTCATTTGATCGTCATTTTATTTCTTACTTTTTTGCCTAATCTAAAAAAAAAATCATAAATACTCTTTCTCCAAATTTGTGACCCTTTATGACCAATAGTAAGACACTGTGCGTCACTACGTTGATATTTCTCGCCCTAAAGCATAACAACAATATCCATTCAGTAATAGCAGTATTCAAAACATGTTCAAAATGCCTCACGATATCGATAACATAACGAAAGACATAGGCGACTTATGACATACTTGCAATGATGACGTCACACACGCGTGACGTGACGTGACCTCGTCATTTCTGAGTTACTGTATGATGCACGAAAGACACTGGTATACCTATGCAAAGTTTCATCGCAGTCGGTCTACGCATTAACAAGTTATGGGCAAAACATTTTTTCGCGTTGACCCCCGGCCATCCGTGAGGCCGTTTCCAACCATAGTGCGCCGCGGCGGCAGGATGTTTGACTTTACACCGCTATTACTAGAAAAGTTGTGAACCGATTTTCTTATTTCTTGCACGAGAAGATCCGCAATTCAATTCTGGACAGGTAGCCGAAATTTCACATTAATATTATGTTTGCGGCGCGAGTTATTGGCGAAAAACAGGAGGGGTGGGCGAAATCCGCCCCCCCTTCCACTGCGCGTGTTAACAGAGGAGATTTTCTGTGAGAAATAAATGACCAAATTCTGAAAAGGAGGCGGCGGAGGGTGCTTCCCCGGGTCATTATTTACCGACCGGGTATCCCATCGGAGCAGAACAAAACCGGAGGTTTCAGAATTGGACGGGCTATAGAATCATGCTGAGACTTTGATGAGTAGGTGGAGCACCATGCGCCGTTCTAAAACACAGAAATGTCACTATGCACTTCCGAGAGGGGTGTGCCAAATCTTGCTCGAGAGTTCCCTCTGGGAGGGACCAATGGTACGTCCGTCAGGATGCGCCGTTCTGGGAACAGCAATGACAAGGTATTGGAGAGTGGGCATTTCAACTGCCTCATGGGGCACGTTAATTAACTGTTGAGGCGCCACCCTGACGGGCGCGGGGCACCGCGCCTAACATAAGAAACGACATCTATATTACTATTTGAGGAGGGCGTAGTTTCTGTCTATTACGAAGGCCGCGACATGGTGCTACGTAGCGCGGGTTACAGATCACACCGTTGCACCTACCGCGCTGAAATTTGCGCAAGTTATAGAACAAGGATGGACAACGTGCCTTTGATGGGTCTCAGCTCGATCGGGTCGATAGCGAGCGCGTGGCGCGTGCCCAAAAAGTGCAAATTCGCGTCATAGACTTTACATGTATAAATCGGCTGGCAAAAACGGGCGAAAATGGCTAAATTTGCCCGACACGGGTCCGGTCCCGGTGCAATATCTCGGTAGCCGTGCGCCCGATCGGCACGGGGAAAACAGCATCGTGTAGAGAATCGAACGGGCTATCGAATGGTGTGCGGTGCAGGGGTTGGCACGCGCCACGTGCACCGGGGAGGACACTTTCTTTTGAAAAATGGACGTTTTGGACGGATTTTGGAATTTATATTAATTTCAGGTGATCGTCAGACGGAATGAGTTGAAACAGCGCCTATTAGCAATAAAAATGTACCGTCTCTCATGGAAAAATTGTGAAAAGCTAATTGATCAAAAACAATGTGGAAAAAATCGCTGAATTAAATGGTATTTGTCCAAAATGTGCCACTAAATAATTACACGGATTTTGCTGCTTAACCTGATACGTTTGACAATTGAAAATGCTATCATTGGAAAGAGGATTCAATTCTCTCCAAGATCCAATCATCACGTTTGCATGAGAAGCAACAGTATTCTTAAAAATATAAATATTTCAAACCTCTGCAAAACGATTTTTAGTGAAAATTATCTACGCCTTTAATTTGTCATAAAACTACGCGCCTAAATTATAAAGCACATTTGACAGATTCTGAAGTGGAAAGCATGCTTATCAGACACGGGCACCTCGATGTGGTGGATATTTTTTCCACAAACCAAAACGTTTAGCTGTCAAAAAGCAATCGACCGAAATGGATAGATAACCCAACCGACACAAGAACAACCGAACACCCGCCGATCGAAAATATCCCTTTTCGCGTTGCGGAGCACGCGGGTCACCCTAGTCTATATTACTATTTGAGGTGACGTAGTTTCTGTCTGTAACCGAGGTCGCGACATGGTGCTACGTAGCGCGGGTTACAGATCACACCGTTGCACCTACCGCGCTGAAATTTGCGCAATTCATAGAACAAGGATGGACAACGTGCCTTTGATGGGTCTCAGCTCGATCGGATCGATAGCGAGCGCGTGGCGCGTGCCCAAAAAGTGCAAATTCGCGTCATAGACTTTACATGTATTAATCGGCTGGCAAAAACGGGCGAAAACAGCCAAATTTGCCCGACACGGGTCCGGTCCCGGTGCAATATCTCGGTAACCGTGGGCCCGACCGGTACGGGGAAAACAGCATCGTGTAGAGAATCCAACGGGCTATCGAATGGTGTGCGGTGCAGGGGTTGGCACGCGCCATGTGCACCCGTGAGGGCGCTTTTGTTTGAAAAATTGACGTTTCGGACGGATTTTGGATTTTATTTTATTTTTACGTGACCGTCAGACTGAGAGAGTTAAAACAATGCCTATTGGCAAGAGAAATGTACCGCCTCTCATGGAAAAATTGTGAAAAGCTGATCGATCAAAAACAAGGTGGAAAAAATCGCTTAATTAAATGGTATTTTCCAAAATGTGCCACTAAATAATTACACGGATTTTGCTGCTTAGCCTGATACGTTTGACAATTGAAAATGCTATCATTGGAAAGAGCATTCAATTCTCTCCAAGATCCAATCATCACGTTTGCATGACAAGCAACAGTATTCTTAAAAATATAAATGTTTCAAACCTCTGCAAAACGATTTTTAGTGAAAATTATCTACGCCTTTAATTTGTCATAAAACTACGCGCCTAAATTATAAAGCACATTTGACAGATTCTGAAGTGGAAAGCATGCTTATCAGACACGGGCACCTCGATGCGGTGGATATTTTTTCCACAAACCAAAACGTTTAGCCGTCAAAAAGCAATCGACCGAAATGGAAGATAACCCAACCGACACAAGAACAACCGAACACCCGCCGATCGAAAATATCCCCTTTCGCGTTGCGGAGCACGCGGGTCACCCTAGTTAGACACTAGTGTAGTTAAAGATGTTAGTATAGGTCATGGAGACTAGGCAAAGGGGTTACCTAATATCTATTATAGTCGAGATTGGCTCGAGAGGCGCTTTTATTGACCGATGAGGCTCTCCAACTAGCTAAGTGTGCCGTTTTACCGCAAAGATAATAACACATTTCCCGGAGGGACGATTTCAAAGACTGTAGCTGGGCGCATTAATAAATAGTGGGGCGCCACTCAGCGCCAAGGGCGGCGGCGCCGCTCTTCACCACATATGTAAATGTCATTACGCACTGAAGAAGGGCGTCAAAAGAGCCTCGAGGGGCGCTGTTCTAGCACCGAAATAGGGGCGCCGTTCTAGCTGCAGCGATGGCATTAGGTATTGACCGCATTGACCAGAGGAGCGGTTCATGTGGCTAAAGGCGCGCCGATAAACTGGTGGGGCGCCAGTCTAGGGCTGATAATCCCGGGACTTTTTGGCAATCCCGGGATTTTAGAAATGCAATCCCGGGATATCCCGGGATCCCGGGATTGAGCAGTTTTTATTTTAACCTGTCTACAAAGCAGAATTTTCTTGCAATATCGTATGTACATGGCGCATCCTTACCATCATAAACACAATACCAGGCATACACCTTCACCCCGAACAAATATAAGAGCATGAATGACATTGATCATTGTATTTCTTGTTTATATTTCGAGTCAGGATACAGTAGACGTGCCTACGGATTGTGGTCGTCTGACCAGCAGCATGTCCTGGTCACATTCACTTGTTACGGTAGTAGCACTTGAGGAAGCAAAGTGCATCAACGACTTCGTCGCCGAGACTCGACCGCACTTTTGTGACGATATTCCCGACAGTGGAAAACACTCGTTCCGATTCAACGCTCGTAGGAACTATGCCCTTCAGCCAGTTGTAGGACAGCGCTACCATGCCTGTCCTTCCTGAGATAGGTAAATTTTCCAATTCTTTCCTTATGGCCTTCGTCATCATCAGAGAAGATTGCGAAAAGTTAATCCCAGACGGGCATGAACTGGTGCCTTGCTCTGGAGCTCTAACCTCATCTAGAGCTTGTTGAAGCATCGACTGAAGAGACGGCGCTGCTTCAGGATCATCAGCGTCCATCACTTCTGTATCTACACCTACTTCGGTATCATGCATCTGTTCTCCCAATCTTTCCATCATGTGGACAACTAAGTCCTGTGCTTCCTTGCGAGAGGCACTAGGAAAAATATCTTTCCAGTCTCTGTCTGCCGACATTTTGTTATGGAGCGATTGTAGGACTTTAGCCGCACGTGACCGTCTCTGTCGGATGCGCTGTTTCAACGCATCAGACAGTTTACATGCAATCGCGCAGTCCTCCTTGTCAAGCGCGCTTAACATAAACTTTAGAGCAGCTTCAGCCTCCAATAGTCCACTTTCTCTCCTGCATAGCGCTTCTGCTCCGAGTTTCATGATTCTCAGGCAGCGAATGAGCGCAGGTATGGCGGCGTATTCATAATCATCGATCATTTTCATACGTTTGTCTCCTATGTCAATGAGTGCTTTGTGGACAGCTGCTTTGAGGTTATCCAATCGTTCTAGCATGTCATACAAACTATTCCATCGGGTTTTACAGTCTAGCACTAGCATCAGTTCCTGCCCACGCTCCTCTCTAACGTATTTCTGAAGGACTTCATTTCGTACGGGCGATTTTCTAAACCAGCGGACAATGTTTCTAATGCTTTTAACGACTGGAGAGAGCGAACTATGTAGTTCGTGGTGACCAGTAGCACCAGTAGTGTTTTCTTCCACGTTGTCGTCCTCATCCTCGTCATCACCGTCGGATTCATCTGACGAGTTCACCTGCAAGGCGACAATATCCTTACCTTATTAATCTATATAAGATGTACTATTGAGCGCAGAATCCGCGCTCATACCGGGACCGAAGCGGGACAGGTCTGGTGTATCAGAGAGTGTACCGATAGTGTGCTGCGGAACAGTATCCCATCCAGGCGGCTGCTGTCTGGTGAACTTGGGTCAGCCGCCGCACGGAAGGCAACCGCCCCGGCCTCCCTCCCCGAGTGGGGGAGGGAGGCCGGAGAAGGGGAGCGATTCATGCAGTGGCAGCCCGCGCGGAGTTAGTGCGTCAGTGTCTACTGTGTATATTGGGATTATTTCTCCAGCAAAGTTTTGGGTTTGCTTGGAGTCCACTGATCACGGTGGCTGTTTGCAGGGAGCGGGCCCGGGCGGTGTCAGCAGATAGCTGTTCCCCTACACAGGCAGGCCACAGACATGGTGAAACGGTGTATTACTGTAATATGGCCGACCAGCCGGGGAAAGACCCCTTTCTGTAGGAATGCGATTAAAGAGGCTTCTGTGTTTTAACCCTATTAGTGGCAGGCTCCTGGCTACCCCCTATTAGTGGCAGGGGGGGCTGTTTACGACCCCCCCCCCTGATATCTCGAGGTCTAACTGGCCGATTTTCAAAATTCAAACGGCATTCGATTTCGCTCAACGTGATCTACATTTCTAAAAAATAAAAATTAAAAAATGTCAAAAGTGGGGGGGGGGGGTAGAGGGGGTAAAAACGGGCAAATGGGGTTGGGAACTCGATTTTTTAAGAATGTATAGAAATGATCAAACTATTTTCGCAGAATTTATGGTGCATACAATTTCCTTATAAAATCATTATGCTGAGAGAAATGGGGGAAGACAGATAGAAAACAGATTTTTTAAAGTTCTTGAAAAAGACGCTCTTGATGCTGTTACGTCACATGTCACCTTCTGCGGTTGACAAATAATGGCGCATCTGGCGCACCACCGATTACATGTTATTTCTATGTGTGAAAGAGGTTGTTTGTTTCACTCTGCCATTTGCGCTGTTTTTAGCTTTAAATTATGATAAAGCATTCACGAATGAAAGGTTCAGTGTCAAAAATTGATGCGTCTGCCGTGTACTGTTCCCATTTAACATTGAGCGCGTGGTAAACATTTTGTGAACCTCGAATTTTCAAATGAAAAACATGATGAATCGGAAGATGCTGAAGGGCAAAGGCCTTTCCAATACGCATTTGGCCTAATTTACAAATAAATTTTTAACATTTCTCTAATCTTATTAAAAATTTCTTTGTTCTTTTTCATAAAAATAACTTAAGACGTTGAGAACCGAGGTAATTCCTATCTACCGTGCCTTAACCCGCGCACCGACGGGGGTCTGCGCCAACTTAGTACCGACGGGGGGGGGGCGGATGACCGCCCCCCCCTGAGATCTCGAGAACGAAGCAAGATAGCGACAAGCGGTAAACGGCATCGGATACGCACGGCCAAGATCTACAATTTTTACTAAGGTCATTTTCAGGTCAGGTCAAAGATGACGTCACAGGGGTCGAAAAAGTCAAAATGGCGGCGCTAGATATGGAGAGAGTTTTCCTCGAATAACTTTCGAATTAGTCAAGATAGGAACAAACTAAGGGCATCATCGTGATCCTCTCGTCAATCCGCATCGAATGATATATATGTTGACCTCGAAAGGTCAAGGTCAAAGGTTGACCTCAGGTCACGTGACCTCGAGGTCATCATGTATATCATTCGATGCGTCTTGACGAGCTGAACACAATGAGACGATCCACGCGTCTGTATCTTGTTCCTGTACGGAGTTATTGGCCAAAAACCTTTGGTGACCTTTGATGACGTCACATGACCTCACAGCTGCCCAACAGCAAAACAGACCTCAAGGTAGTGAAGGTTGATCGTATATGAAGTCATGTATGGTATATGGGGCCATTCCGACCCGTTTTAGTGGTAAAAACAGGGAGTTGATTTTTCCCCCATTGACTTATAATGGGGAGGTCGCGAAATTGACCTGACCTTAGGTCACCGATATCAAAATTCCGAGATACACAAATTGTAGCTACTAATGACCTAATAATATCCTGCGACTTTCAAAGGCCTCCGACATCTACTGTAGCTCTGGCACGGTGACAAAGTTGCAAAAAAGTGACTTGAGGTTGGGTCATTCAAAGTGACCTGGTGACCTGACCTTAAATGTTAGGAGGTTCAAACTTGCACACCATGTGTAAAATTGATGAGGTTATAGTCATACCAAATTTCGCGGCGCTACGCGCCGCGGTTTTCCCGCTATTCGCGAAAAACCTCAGGGGGGGGCGGATATCCGCCCCCCCCCGTCGGTGCGCGGGTTAACTTACCAGCAACAGCAATCTCTCTACGCCCTACGGTGGCAAGGGAGACTGTGAAAGAAGCGTAAGATGGATTCTAAACAATTCTTTTGTGATATACTGAAGGGCAAAGTGCAGAGAAAAGCGTGCAAGTCCTGTTTTGTGCCAGGCTGTTGCAGTAGCACTTATGAAACTCCGAAAACGATCTTCGTTCATGTCCCGAACAACATTACCCTGAGGAGATGATCGTCTGCAATAGCAGGAAGAGCTGATGCAAGTACTTTGATATCCACTATCAAGTCGGTGATATTGTTGTAATGATCACTGTGAGGTGAGATATTTTGTGCAAGGGCTGAGTGTAATGCCCAGGAGATGACCTCCATTCGCCCCCTGACCGGTCAGGGTTATAAAATTTGAGTGGATGGCGGTCCGTTTGGGGTTCAGATGTCAATTGTATTTTGTGTTTCAAACAATACATGTTATGCTGGCAGCGAATGTGTGTAACGTCGGTTTTCGAAACAGAAGTTAGAGCTGTAACGGCAGAGTGCTTGCTGGTCTCATCGTAAGTATTGTAAGTGTTGTAAGCAAAACATTGTCAATATTGTAAGTATTGTGAGCATTGATGTATGGTAGATATCACCTCACATGATCTCAGCTCAGATAACCCTCTCCGGTGTCCTTGTCAGTAAACGGCACCTGAGTCATTACAGATAAGATAATTTGTCATAATTCTTAAAGAATTGGGTGGTTTTGACTCGTTTACTCGAGGTGCAGGTCGCATTTCAATATTTTCTCATAGGCTTGCAATGTAAAGGTCACGACTCTGACCTAACCTCAGATCACAGATAAAAAATTCTGAGATATACAAACGACACATACTGCAGGTACTGTTTTGAAGACTTGATGAGAGGAAATAACTTCGTGAAAAACTCAAAGCTCTGACGTGATTGCAAACTTTTCTGAGGTGGGGTCAACAAACCCGCTCTGGTTACCTGACCTGACCTGACCCGGCATTTTTTTTTGCTGAGATGTGCGCAATGAGCATTTAGGAAAAGTCACCAAATATGAGCTGAATGTCTCGCGGCGTTTGACAATTGTACAAGAAAATCCTGAAAGGCCTCCCCGTCCGAAATAGGATTAATGTGTATATGAAGAGTTGCAGATGCCAAACATACCCAGATCTAAGACTGCAGTTCCCAGCGCCGCTGCAACGTTTTTAAAACAAACATACATAGGACATACAAACATGTTTAGGTATTTGCATATGTTTTGGATAATAGCAACTCATGGCGCCATCACCCGCGATAACCGTTAGGATTTGAGATATATTTTTATTTAGGCCATTAGTTTGGCTGTAATGTTTATTAATATTAGTTGGGCGGAGTTTGGTAGTTTTTTATTTAACTTGTGGTATGTTATGCTGATTGCGGGCTGTTCAAACCTTTCAAATGTAAGGACCTTATTGAACTCAACCCTACCCCTACACTACCCTACATACGACTGGACGCTTTCCAAGCCCACAAGCATCACGACGCCGAGATGGAATGTAGCCGGGAAATCACCCTCGCCATCTGCTCTAGAGCTAATCGTGTGGGGCGGCGTGTGGGGCGCCGCTTAGCCTATGGGGGTGCACTTCTAGTGGATGGGGGACGGGGGTGCACCTGCACCCCTTTCATATGGAAAGTTACTTCCCTGATTACAGCTCCCCGTATTGCACCTAATCAGGGAACGGCCAGCAAACGAAGGAACTATTTCTGGATGACAGGCGAATAACCGCTCACGCAAGGAGCGGAGCTCCGCCCTGTCCAAAGTGGCCAACAAAGCAGAGACAGAGGCAGCATCACATCTTCCATCAAAGAACTTGTTTCTGGCTTGGAAGATGAGCTCCATCTTTGCATCCGAGTCGGTGCTGTCAGGAATCAGCTGGTCTAATGGAGTGAGAGTAGTGAGACGACTAGCTATCGTATCACAGCTGCTTGGTCCTCGTAGCATTTGCACCGATTCTTCTCGATCGGACACTGAATTCTGTCCCTTCTGCGTATTGCTTGAGGCATTGCTATGTAGCTAAGTCTTTGGCACAGTTTCATTATCCATGCTTTGCAAACAGTGTCATAACAACACAGTTAATTAATAACCAAGCTTCTTTGCAAGTTCCAATACAGTTGAATCGCACGCGATTTGAGTGCAAAAATCAAGAAAGGGGCCAACTTGTTCCCGTAAAATATTTTGAATATTGACCTAAAATATGAGTAATTTCCAGATAAAATAACAGCGAAATCAGTTTTCGCTTGCCAATAAAACTCAGATATTGAAGCTCCATTATTAAAGGAACATTTTAGTATATGTCATTCTTGATAAAACTTCTTAGCCACGCAATACCAGCACAAATTAAAGAGACACTGAAAACACGACCAATCACTCCGATTTACCATAGGAAAATACATAGAAAATGTATGTCTCAACTGCGCCAAATATACAGACAGTTAAATACCTACATGTGACGTCATGATTAGCCCGACCAATCAGAAGCAAGTTGTTTTCAGCCACAAATAATTAATTTCTGAGCTAACTAGGCATTTTTTTTAACAAAGTGATTTTAAATTAAATCATTAAAAGTTCTGAGCTTTTTTATTTTACCAAAACATACAGAGCATGCAGATAGGTCCCAACCCTATTGCAGATGCATTT